AGAAGTGGGGTCCTGGTGGAGCGCGGCCAACAGGACACATGGCTTCCAGTTCCTTCCCTTTTCACGCTAAAATGCCCGCGGCTGACACTTTAACGCAGGAGTGTTACCAGGACCCAGCGCCCCAGGGCAGGGCTCAGGGAACCTTCAGTGCCCTGGAGGCAGTGGAGGCCAAGGGATTGGTGGTGGGAACAGACCTGGGCTTAAGTCCAGATGCCAGCCCCTACGTTCCTTTGTAGTGTTTGGTCAAAGTAAGCACTCTGAGCTAGTCTTCTTGTTTGCAAATGGAAACGTTAATCCCTGCCCCATCAAGGGCTTGGTCCCATGAAAAGCAAAAGCGTGTGTAAAACTCCTTCGTGTGTGCTGGACTCCTGGCCAGAGGTCAAGGTCAGTCCTTCCTGCTCGTCCAGCCCGACTTACTCTTGTGAAAACCCAAGGAGGCCAAGGCTGGTTGAGAGATGGCCTTGCCTTTTGTCCATGAAATACTTATTAAATATTACTCACCACATTTCTCAACTGGTTAGATGACAATATTCCTAATATTTTCCCACTAAAGAGATGTATATTCTTCTCCACAGATAGCTTTAGCAGAAGAGAGAATTTTAAATAACAGTAACCACATTTCTTAAAGGAACCAAGCTTGTTAATCCATTAAAGCTATTGTGTGTGAAAGAAAGGAACCCTCCAGAAATACTGAAAACAAAATGGATTTGAATCTGTGGTTGTGAAACGAATCAGAGACGTGTCTTCCCAGTGTGTTTTCACGTGTGCAGGGTGCTGGGTGCGAAGCAAGGCCGCCGGCCAGAAGTGACCATATGAACGGCTTCCTAACGGGTGCCATCTCTGCTCTGCGGAGGTTAATTCTGCCATAGGAGTTCTGTACCAGAAGAGATGGTGAGTCACCAGGCCTCCTGTTATTTCACCTTCTGCAGCAGCTGCCACAGATCCATGCTGGCTGCCCTCAAGCCTCAGCCCCCAGGCCATGGCTCAGGGGACACAGGAATGCACGCACAGCACCTGCCAGAGGTTTACCAGCTTTCTCTCGCTTAATTAAAAGCAAATACCTCTCCGCAGTGCAGATAGCTGGTCTGTCACTCATGCCGGGAGGCAGTGTCCTCACAGCACATGGTTGTAATTGAATGACTCCTACACCTGGGCTCTGGGTCTTTCATTAATCAGTTACACACACAGCAGAGGTGAAGCTTAATGAGTGTCTGACGTGGAGTGGCCTTGGTGGGTGAGTGTGCCATTCCACATTTTGAAAATTTGACACATAGCATGTTGTGGTCTGCATCATGTCAGTTTGCAACGATTCTAAAAAAAATGCCAGCACAGTTTATTGGATAGCAAGGGGAAAAACCTCTCTGCAGCAGAAACAATTTCCTGAGCATTAGGACATCATGATCATGCCATGGGCTCTGTCCTGGAATCACACCGGGAGCACTGAGCCATACAGTGGGTGGGAGGAGACAGGCTTAATCCACCCCAACCTCAGGGAGAGGCTGGATGAGGCACTTGTTAAATCTGGTGGCTCTGGATGCAGACTGTGGGCTCATGTGGCAACACTGTCACCTGGAAAAACGACTTAAATGCTCTGCGCCTCAGACCAGGGAATAATATCTGTAAAGGGCTGAAGAAAACATATGTCAGCCCAGAATTCTATATCTAGCAAAACTATCCTTCAAACAATGGAGGCAATATGAAGATATTTTGAAAAATAAAATGGAAACCAAGACAATTTGTTTCCAGAAGATCTGCACTAAAATAAATATGAAAGGAAGTTTTGCAGCTAAAAAGAAAATTACAACAAATGGAAAGTTGGATCAACAGAAAGGAATAAAGAGTACTGCATATGGGAAATATGTGACTAAGCGTAAAATACTAATTTTTCCCTCTTAAATTCTTTGAAGGACAAACGACTAATGCAAAATAATACCCTATTGTAGTGTTTATAACATTTCTAGATGTAAAACATATGATAAAAACATATAGGATTACATGGTTGTAGGATTTGACATTTTATGTAAAACAGTACAATATTCACCCTTTGTAGACTGTGCTAAATTAAAAATGGCTAAAATAATCTGTAGAACAATCACTAAAAAATAAGAAAGAGTTTTTGCTAAAGTACATGATTGTTTAACTGCTGTGCTTTGTACCTGAAACTAACACAAAATAATATTGAATGCAAACTATAATTGAAAAATAAAAAATAAGTGACATTGCTAAAAAGACAATAGAGAAATTCAAGTAAAATACTAAAAACTACTGTGTTACCCAAAAGAAGGCAGGAAAACAGAAAAAGAAGAGAAAAAAAGGAAAATGGGATAAATGGAAAACAAACAGCAGAATGGTAGACCTAACCCAACCAGATGAATAACTGCATTTAATGTAAATGCTGCAAGCAGTCTATTAAATGGTATATATTGTTAGACTGAATAAGAAAGCAAGACTCAACTATACCCACAAGAAATGCACTTTCACTATAACGACATTGAAAATGAAAGGGGATCAAGGAAGCTGATCAGACCAGGTATACTTCAAGACAATGAGTGTTACTAGAGACAAAGGGGACAGCTCCTAACGATAAAATAACCAATCAGAAAGACATAACAGTTCTGATATGGTGCATCTCATGACAGAGCTACAACATCCACGGGGCAAAACCCGACAGCTACAGGGAGAAATAGAGAATCCAACAATCCTAGTTGGAGCTTTAACACCCTCTTTCAATAGTTGACAGGACAAATAACAAGAAAAATGAGAAAGTGAAAAAGCAAATCACAGAGAAAATTTGCAGTATGTTATGTCCGACAAAGAACTTGTATCCAGACTATATGAAGAACTCTAACAAATCACAAGACCAACAGTCCCATGAAAACTGGCAAATTACTACTTGAACAGACATTTTAAAAAATAAGTCATACAAGGGGCCTAAGAGCACATGAATATGGTGGTTACACAGCTGCGTATATTTTTCAAAGCTCATACTTAAAACGTATACTTAAGATCAGCTCATTTTACTGTACGTAAATTTTACCTTGATAGAAAATAGTGCAGGAGATAAAGAAGGACATAGGTTTGAATCCCAGCTTGGCCACTTGACCTTGGTCGCCTTGGACAAGTTGCGTCACCTCTCAGAACCCCAGTTTCTCTCTCTGTAAAATGGGGATAAGGATGAACCCCCTCACATAACAATACAAAGGTGTGGAACACCTAACTTGTTTGAGGTGCTCTGTTAAATAACTCAATGATCTTCCTCTATTCCCTACCCACCGTCCTCTTCTCCTGCCTCCTAGCTCTTCACATTCTCTCTCCATGGGTTCCTTCTGGACCAGCAGGGAGGGGAGGAGAGTGGGGAACGTCCTACTACCTCGCCACAGGGTTGGGTCCATGTGGCCAAGGGAAGAAACCCCACTGCCCTCACGTCCTTACTGTGGCCACTGGGATGACAGGGAAGAGGAACTATTCCTGTGGGCCACTGTTGATGACAACCATTGCCTCAGGGCCCCCTGAACACTGATGCACAGCCAACATCTAGCCCCAAGTACAGTGCTACGCATCTGCATTGATATAGTAAAGCTGCCTTATTCTAGCCACTAAAAATACACTGAACAGCATAAAGTTAAACTTGAGCTATTCAACCAAATAAAAATAAAATTCTGTGAAGTTTTAATATTATATATAAGTATTCTGTATCAAAGGGCTTTAAAACTTGGTAATCTTTGTGCTATATATGTATGTTATTTATCTATTTATGTATCTACTAGAGGCCCAGTGCACGAAATTCATGCACTCGGGGGTGGGGGGGGTCCCTCAGCCTGACCTGCACCCTCTCACAGTACGGGAGCCCTCGGGGGATGCCCAACTGACGGCTTAGGCCCGCTCCCCATGCTGGCTGTCAGACATCCTTAGCACTGCTGCAGAGGCTGGAGAGGCTCCCGTCACCCCTGCGGCGCTTGCCAGCTGTGAACCCGGCTTCTGGCTGAGTGGCACTCCTCCTGTGGGAGCGCACTGACCACCAGGGGGCAGCTCCTGCGTTGAGCACCTGCCCCCTGGTGGTCAGTGTGCATCATAGTGACTGGTAGTTCAGCCATTAGGTTGATTTGCATATTAGCCTTTTATTATATAGATCTATCTACCAAATCATCTATTTATCATTTATCATCTATCTATCACTCTATCTAACAATCATCTATCTACCTACCTACCTACCTACCTATCACCATCATCTACAGACAAACTATATCAGAGAATCATTGCTTTCAGGGCTGGCAGAGCACCTCCTACCATTTGGTGTGGCTCATTCACTGTGGGGATGATACAGTGGAGGCTCAGGGCGGTGCAGAGCTTATCTAAGATCGTAGAACTGGGCGGTGCATGGACCTTCTAGTGCAGCGGTCACCAACCTTTTGGACCTCACGGACCACCAGTGGTCCGCGGACCACTGGTTGGCGACCGCTGTTCTAGTGGGTGCTGGGTGGCCGGGTAGGGGTGGCTCAGGCGGACTTCCCTACCCACTGGCCTATGATGTAACTGAGCATGGACATTATTGGGGTCGGCTTGGCTTCCTGTGGGCTCCCCTTACTACCCGTGTGAGGAGCTGACGTTCAGAAGGTACTGGACTTGGCAACTCATGCGTGTGAGAAAGGACCCCGAATGCAAAGGTAGATGCCATTACTGGAGGAAGGCGGGCTGAAAGAAGAAACTGTGGATTTAATTTCCAAACAGAGGTGCGAGCATTTCAGAGAGGGTTCCTGTGGCACAAGGAGGCGGCCTGGGGCACCGTGGAGTGTTTATGCAGAGGAAGATGCTGTTGCTAATGGTTGGATGCTCAGCCAGGTGCAATAACTAAGACGTCTGCAAGAGGACGCAGTAAGGACGTTGGAGAGGGATGTTCACGTCAGCCTGAGGAAATGACCTGCCAGGGCCTGTGCTAGTCGGTTTAAGGGGACGAGCTACCGGAGAATGGGAGCCCGAGAAATGAGAAGCGTCATCAGTACCTTGAGGACCACGTGTATCATCATCTGCAGGCCGCTTTTGCCCGGGTACTTCCCGGCAATGTTCTCCGCGGACAGGTTGAAGAGGTTGGCGCCCGTCTCGCTGCAGATGGCGTGGACCAGCATTTTCTTCCCGACCCCTGACGGCCCGGCCAGCAGCAGCGACTTCACCATCGGTGCGTTCTGGTGCACCTCCGCGGAACCTGCAAGAGGCAGAGGCCCAAGCTCTCAACCCCGCCAGGAAGCCAGAGGCTCACAGACCAGGCTTCCTTGAGGCCACGACCCCACACACGATGCCCGTGTCTGTGACTCTGATGACTGCGTCCATAGCATTTTCGCCTCCTCGGCGTCTGAGGCACTTTGATTTTTAGTCGAGGTGGAGCCGTGGGGTCTCCTTGGGTATTCGACACATGGTTTCTCCTCCATCCCTCATCCTACACTTTCCCCCAAACTCATAATTTTAAAGAACATTCCTGCAATAACTTGCATCTGGCATTTTTTCGGGGGGCGGGGGATGGAAGGGGATGGGGTTCCTCTGCTTGTCAGCAGCAATATCATGTCCTTTGGAAGCTTGGGAAGAGGATGTGGGGATGGAAGGGGGTGGGGTGGGGGGAGGACTGCCGAGTGTCCGTTAGCGATTCTTAGGAGACCAAGGGGGAACCAAGGATGCCGTGGCCGGAGCTGGACTTCTTTCTTCTGCCTGGTTTCCCACCTGTCGAATCATCGTGCTGTCACTCAGAGGTCCACCCGTGCCTCAAGCTCTCACCACACCGTCCATCTCCTGCGAGCGCAGACGGCACTCAGACTTGAGCACCTCCCACCGTCCTGAGCACCAGGGGAGGGCCCGGGCACTGAGTAATGACTTCCACAGGGAGTGGAACTGCGGCCGGGGAAGGGCTGTGGTGCAGGCAGCTGTCGCTCTGGTTTGCTTTTGCTCAAGCACTGGGCACTTTCTGAGCAGCTATAAATATATCAATATTATAATTACTATTGTGCTGTTCCTTTTTTCTTTTTTTCGTGTAATTGCAAAGGTATTGTGAACGTACCAGCTCATTGGAGACAGTTTTTGTGGTTACCTAACATACTCCACATGAACTAGAATGCCGTTTTGAGAAGTTCTTTTTAAAATGACATTAAGCAGGCATGCTTTATGTGTGTGAGGGGTGGAGACCCTGCTTTCCACCACAGGAGAGCACGCCCATTCGCGGGGTCTTCTCAGCAGCTGGGCATTGAGGGCTGCTTGGGCCCTGGTCCCAGCTGGCAGCCTGTGGGGGTCCAATGTGAGAGGAGTCAGAGATTGCTGTGAAAAATGTATTAAAGCTGAGCAGACATGATGAGAATGGAAGGCAAAGAGTGCTAAGACCCCTGAGAGCCACAGAAAGTTCAGAGAAGAAACACATTTAACTTGGGGGTGGCTGGGTGGCTGGAGGGGGTGGCTCAGGCGGACTTCCGGGAGGAGGTGGCGTCTGAGCTGGCCTCTGAAGCACAGGTAGAACTGGAACTCGTAGAGAAGGGAACAAGTGGGAAGATTCCGAGTGAGGGGGATGCAGGCCTGCTGTGGGGAGTCAGGTGGGTAATGGGGGAGCGGCGGATAATTCTGACTGGTGCTGTGACTGGGCAGCGAGGAGGTGGGAAGGGAGACGGATGCCAGCTGCTGGGGCCCTGGAAGGTGGTCAGGGTTGTAGGTTATCCAAGGGTGCTGGCTGAGGTGGGGCGGGAGGGGTCCTGGGAGGGGTGGCGGAAGACTGCTGAGGGGGGAAGGGGACAGGGTGTGGGAGACCTAGGAGGAGGTGCGCACTTACTCCGGGACACTGACTTTCCAGGAGGAAGGGGTGGTCACCAAGGTCGCTCGGAGAGGGAAGGAGGGGGGTCCGGGAAGGCCTCTGCACCCGGGGCCTCGCTGACCTCGGAGCCGCTGATCGGCCGGGACACACCTGCCACAGTGTCCACGGCTCCTCTTGCCCATCGGAACGTTCAAGGGCAGTTTTAAAAAAATACGGGGAATTACACAGAGATAGAGTGAATTTCCAGGCTTTTCGGTTTGGGGAGGATTGGAGTCAGGGGGCCAGTGTTCCATGCGCTGAGCCAGCTCTGCTGCTTCCTGACACTGGGCTCCTGGCGGCTGGACTGGAAAAGCGGGTTCGCCGCCATGGCCACCTGACGCTCCTGCTGGGAAGCGACTCAGTTCCCGTGCAACTCCCGCAGGCTGTGCCGCTGCTCCTGCTCCGAGGGCGCCCTCCTTCCTTCCTCTTCCCTTCCTGCTCCGGAAGGTGACGTGTCCAGGAGGGAGGGTGTATGCGGGGCAGGTGTGTCCTGAGTGGGAGGCTGACAGCTCAGACCTGGTCCCAGGAGCCCAGCCCGGAGGCCAGCAGAGCCGGTGCTGGAGGCCAGGCATGGACAGTGGCCTCAACCTGGGTCCTCGGTGCCCTCTGCCCAGTGGCCAGGTTGGTCAGTCCTGGCAGTGGTGACCTGAGGGGTCCGGGCCAACAAACACATTCCTTTTTGTGACTTGACACCATTTTAGATGCTGGAATTTAGATGAAGCACTGGGAAGGCAGACGTGAACACATTTCTCTGTTGGCCTTGGTTGTGCACTGCATACACATGCACAAGCGCGGGCACACACATGCATGCACACACACACACACACCCGTCATGAGAAAGACGTTGAGGTCAGCAGCCTGAAGGGGCGTCAGTTCCTCCCTGACAACGCCCGTCACCTGCACCAGGAGCCGAGGATGCAAACACACCCTCGTCCCCCTTGTTAGGAGTTTCCTTAAAAGCCCGCCCGCTCCTGGTCCCTCAGCTCCAGTGCCTCCCGTGACACTGTGATGACGTCTGAGGACTAGTCTATTTATTTCATTTACAAGGACCCACAGATATTATATACGTACTGTGTTGATCCCAGGTATTGTCTACTTGTTTATGTTATATATATTTATCTTATATATATTTATGTTATATATATATGTTATATATATTTTATCTGCATCAACCCCAAATTCCATTTACTACTTCTGACATTCAGTTAAAAGAGGAATGCACTACTTCTTGCCAATAGGTTTAAGTTCTTATTTAAGTTCTTATTTAAGTCAAAGGAGAACAATATTCTAAGTGCTCAAACCACTCTCATCTCATTTTAAAGCAAACTGCCTGGCAGGTGTGGTTCAGTGGTTGAGTAGAGTATCACCGTTCGATTCCAGTCAGGGCACATGCTGGGTTGCAGGCTCGATCCTTGGTAGGGAATCTGCAGGAGGCAGCCAATAAATGATTTTCTCTCATCATTGATGTTTCTCTCTCTCTCTCACCCTCTCTCTTCCTCTCAGAAATCAATAAAAATATCTATATATTTATATCTCTATCTCTATCTCTATCTCTATCTCTATCTCTATCTCTATCTCTATCTCTATCTCTATCTCTATCTCTATGAGCCTAAGCAACTGTTCGACTATTCTACCATTCGACCAGTAGCTATGACATGCACTGACTACCAGGGGGCAGACACTCTGACCGGTAGGTTAGCTTGCTGTTGGGGTCTGGCCGATAGGGACTGGGTGAGATGAGCTGGACACTCCCTGGAGCCCTCCCATGGTCCCTCCCCGGCCCCGATTGTGCAATGGTGGGATCCCTCAGCCTGGCTTGCACTCTCTCAAAATCCTAATCCAGGACCCCTTGGGGGATGTCGGAGAGCCGAAGAACAAGCAGGAGGACCCCACTGGTGCATGAATCTGTGCACTGGGCCTCTAGTATAAAAAATAAAACAAATTAAACAATCAAGAAGTGATCTCTATTTCAGAATGGTGGTCAGAGAACAGCCTAGCTGGGTCCCTGCCCCTGCCCCCATCAACTCAGGCCATACACATATTAAAGTCAAAAAAATAAAAACAGAAGTGAACAGCAGCAGCAGCAGCAGCAGCAGCATATCTTTCTGTCACAGAGAGCCCTGCCTTTCCGACACCTCTGCACACAGCGTAGAACTCAGGTCCCTGTGTCTGAACAGCCATGACTGAGTCCCACTCAGCAGTGACACCTGGCAGAGCCTCGTCCCTTGGATTCATGCAACACCTTGACCGACTCTCTTAAGGACCTGGTCACAGAAGCCTGTGTGTTAGGCAGCTGGGAAGGCAGACGTGAACACATTTCTCTGTTGGCCTGTGTGTTAGGCAAGCGGAACCTGGGCCCTTTGCCTAATCCGAGGCACTTTAATTGCAGGTGCCTGCGTTGGCTGGTATTTCCCCAGATGATCGCCCACCAGACCTTCCCGGGAGTGCCTTTTAGGGTGCCCTGGGATACACCATCACGATGGGACTATCCTCACTCAGAGCTCAGGAGGAAGAGTTAAGCCCCAGTGCACGGTGATGACAACGGGAGACATGGTCAAAGCCAGCAGGTGGTGCGCTGGCCTCTAGAATAGTCCCAACAGGCTCGTGGGGTCTTTACCTAGTGGCAGGATCCCATACAGTGCGATGAGCTGTCTGACATCCAGGAGGGAAGGCATGGGCTCTATGGAGACCCGGCGAAGAGTGGCCCCCAGGTAGCTGTACTCACCTGGGGAAAGAACCAGAGGACATATGAGTGGGAACTGCTGGTAGGACCTGGTGATTTTAGCACTTGATGCAGATCTAACATTTCTAAGCAAATATAATCCATGATGGAGGGTCATTCTGAAGGACACGTTTTCTCAGAGAAAGGCTCAAAGAAGTGTCCAGTCTCGAAAGCATACTGGGGTAGTAACTGAGCTGTGTGTTGACTGTGACACTAATCTCTTCATATTAAAAACAAAAGTAACCTCCGAATATTGGGCTTGTGAAGAGGAACAACGTTCTAAAACAAGGGATGTACACAGGAGACTAAGAGATGCAGGTTTTGTTTACTTTATATTCCAGGCGAGTCTGACGTCTGCACACACAGATCGCCAGGTGAAGTCCGCACTGGAGCGGTGAAATCTGACTCTGAAACACACTCATTCGAAAGGAAGGACACGAGTCTAATTGAGAATAAATAGAAACATCTCTTTTTGAGGGTAATACTCATTTACATTTTTAAAGGATCACTAAAGGAATAAGACCGAAATAAATCTTTACAGGATTAATTAGAAGGCATCAAAGGGCTTAATTGTGAGGAGTCATAAATCTGAAGTGTTATTTTCTAACTAATTTAGAGAAGGTCACCATGAAAATGAGCTTGGCGGTCTCATTTGTGGAGGACGGACCCTGACATGCTCATAGAGTCTTGATTTGTAGTAGAATCTGAAGTAAAAACACTACATGATCACTTCTTCTGACTCTTTCTATAACAAGTTCAGATCTTGCCTAGCTTTTGATATTATATATGTAGGACAAGTATACATTTATGTGTGTATATAAAAATACTGAAAAAAATGCTTGTGTGCATATGAAATATTGAAAATATCAAAAGCTTCAAAGCATTTTCCAATGCTAAGAGAACTGGAGTCAAACACCAGATGACGCTTGCTATTTTGTTGTGGAGGGCAACCTCGCAAAGCCTCCACATGAAAAAATAAAGTCCTTGGTAAAGACACGAGGACGGGTGTGCCGGTGGGGAGATGAGTGATAACGAAAGTTTCTGCTTCTGACCCCGTCCCTTTTAATGAACAGGTAATAAACAGAACAGTGGTTAATTTCACCGTCACTGGGATTGGGAGAGAGCCTGTAGTCAGCATTAAATCCAGTCCTTATTACTGTAAACATGACATGAGCAGTGACGTGAAAGTGACCCCCATGTCCCTGCTTAAGTAAATCCACACTAATATCCAATGCACCATTTTTTCTAGCAGAAATTTACTCCAGTTAGATAATTCATTTAGGCTCAATTAGTGGCTGTGGGTTCTGACAGAGTGGAGGACACAACGAGTCGGGGCCGTCTGCCAAGTGATGAAATGCATTCTGAAAGTATATGACCATATTTGCAGTCACCCAGCATGGGAGCCACATGCCTATGTCACCTGCCCAGCCAGGACGCAGATGCTAGCTCCTCCATGGGGAGGAGAAGGAAATGGAGGTGAAGAGGTACTTGAAGTAAAGGGCAAGGAGACCTAGTACCATGAAAGGAGGAGGAACAGGGACTCTAGGATGGATTGGATTGCGTCCCCTTAACCTTCCTAGGTTGAAGTCCTAACCCCCAGCATCTCAAAGGTCACCTCATTTGGAAGTAGGGTTGTTGCAGGTGTAACTAGCTAAATGAGGTCAGGAAGGTGGGTCCTAATCCAATCTGACTGGTTTAGCATACAGGAGAAGGCTACATGAGGAGGGACACAGAGATCAGGTGATATAGCAGAAGCCAAGCAACACCAAGGGCTGCCAGCACACCAGCAGGGACCAGAGGAGGATGAACTGATGGGGTCATTCAGGCTGCGGAGCCCGGGGGCAGTGGAGCATCCAGACTGGAGGACCAATGGGGCCAGGCAGCAGGAGAGAGGAGGGGGCTGCAGCACAGGAGCTGGTTCTGCCTCAGTGTCTTCGGAAGGAACCAACCCTGCCAAAACCTTGATCTTGGTCTCCAGAACTGTGAGCCTGGTATGTTTGTTAGAACGTCTTGGTGTTGGTCAATGGGAGTTGATATTCTCAGGTACAGTGAGATACTTCAGTATGTGGTTTGCATTTCTGTTTTAGGAAGCTTCTCATGAATAATAACTCTTGGTATTTGTTCTGTTCCTTCCTTCTGGCTTTCTTTTTCAGGACTTCATTATCTGTATGTTGGATCTTCTTTGCCTATCTTTAGTATTTGTTACTTTCTTTTGAACCCTTTTAATCTTGCTCTTCATTTCCAATTTTTTTTTAAAAAAAATTTTGTCTTTCACACTCTATTTCTCTTAAAGCATTATTTGTTGACTTTATCCATTATAATTTGGTTTCCCTTTATCATTAGTATTCCTTGAGTTCTGTCAACTCATTTCTGAGTTTTTCTACTTCTATTTATACATTCTTACATATCGTCTATAATTTTCTTAATTTCTACATTCACTTGGTTTGAAAGAGTAGGTGCCAGATATGTCTACTTTATCGATCTTTTTGTGAAATAAATTTGTTCCTGTTTTTTTTTTAATAGAAATGTTGCATAAGCTTTTACTGTGAACATTTTCCATTGCTTAAATACATGATTAAAGAGAGTTCAGGGTAGCTTTTAATGTTTCACAGAGCCCCCCTTTCTGCTGTTTTCATTTATGTTAGAAGTATGGTGGCTTGCTTTTTCAGATGTCCTTGTATGGTGTCCCTCCCCCAACTTTTCTGGACCTTCTCTTTTATCTCTATTGGCCTTGTCCTGCTCAATTGTAATTCTAGTCCCAAGAGTTTCTTGTCAGTATAAGGCCATCTGGGAAGGGCGCTGTGGTAGGTCACTTTTAAGAGTGAATAGAGGTTGGATTGCTCTAGCCCAAGCATGTCAAACTCAAAGGCTAACATGGGCTAAATAAACGAGGCATGCAGCCTGTGGGGCGTGAGTTTGACATGCTTGCTCTAGCCGCTATGTACTCTCTTATTTTACCCCTTTGCCCTCATCTGCTTCTGGGGTGGGCAAAGCCCTCCCCACTGGCGCTGTGCATTCCAGTGAGTGCTTGCCGTTAATTTGGAGACCTCTGTTCCCTGTCCCCGATAGCTTGCACTTTGAGATCTGAGGAGAAACCTTGGCATTTAGTTTTAGTGTAAATGTTGCCCACAGGTTTTTATTTTTGTGAAAATAGACAGTTTCCGTGTCTATTTTTATGAGGGGATTGGAGGAGATCCTCTGCCATCTTTCAAACTAAGGGTCTTCACTGGAAAAAAGTAAGGAAAATGTGGAAAAGACCACAGGGAGACAGCCCTGGTGGCAATTCGAAGAACTTTGTCAGACTGGGTCATTTTCATTGGAGGCCACTCCTCAGTGGCTGATCCCCTCCACTCTGACCTTAGGCATCTGAAGGATGCTGCCTGGAAGTGGACAGAGATCACGGAAAAAGTCCAACAGGTAAGAAATTAATAAGAAGATGAGAAACAGGTCCACTATTTCTTTGAGACTTTACCATGTGCCAGGCACTGTACCAAACACTAGGAATCCAGTGGAGAACAAAACAGACGTGATGTGAAGGAGGAAGAAGGCCAGGAGGAGAGGACTCAGGGATCCCAATCTCAAGTCCAGAGTTCTGTTAAAAATATCATTTTTTTGCCCTAGCTGGTTTGGCTCAGTGGATAGAGTGTCGGCCTGCGGACTGAAGGGTCCCAGGTTCGATTCCAGTCAAGGGCACGTGCCCAGGTTGCGGGCTTGATCCCCAGTAGGGGGCGTGCAGGAGGTAGCCGATCAATGATTCTCTCATCATTAATGTTTCTATCTCTCTCTCCCTCCCTCTTTGAAATCAATTAAAATATATTTTTTAAAATGCCATTTTTTTTCATAGGCACAGAATTAACATAATCAAGGGAGTCTGGCAAAAAACCCTATAGTCCTTGAATAAGAAACACATAAAATAAACAGAAACCCAACACATATTCCAATATACCCTGGTAAAATTCTTACACTCTTAGGAACTATGGAGGCTCCTCCACGGCCTCAGGAAGGAGATGTGACTTTCTTTCAAGGGGATTAAAGTGACCATTTTTTTTTTTTTATCAAAGGGCGACATCAGCCTTCTTGCTCCCACAGACCCAATTGGGCCATTGGATACGCAAGAATGAATAAGATGGAATTGAATTATAACAGTATTTAAAAAAGAGAGAATCCATGTGTCTACACTGATACCACAACTTTACAAGGAGGTTTCTTCCTAGAAGAACAATACCTAACAAACACAGGGGAGCTAGACACAGAACGCCGCCACCTGACAGCCACCATGGCAACAGCCGACGCAGCCAAACTCTGCAGGAGATGCAGACACCTTGAAGCCGGTGAGGAACAGACTCTCCACGGCCTCAAAACGTACCTGCCCCCCAACTATCCGTTAGTGAAAAAGTGGAAAGTGAAGCTTTACAGGGAACCTGGGGAACAGCTCACTGGCCAGTGATTACACTTATCACCCGTGAGGGACCAAGGGTCACCGTGTGTCCCCGATGTGAACTGCCGAGAAGGTCACAGCGTCACCGGAGCAGCTTTCCTGTTACACGTGTCTCACGTGAATCAAGTCCTAAGAAAACCGTCAAACCAATTCAGTCGAATGACAGTCTGTGAAACAGCTCCGACTGTTTAAAAAGGTAATTCTGTGAAAGACTGGAAAATGCTGGAAACTGTCCTGGGTTGAAGGAGTGAAAGGAGACTGAAAAGGGGTGACCAGCATGTCTCTGATCCTGGACTGGAGTCTGGACTGAAAAAGACAGACAATTCTACAGGACATTGTGGGACTGCTGGTGAAATGGATTAGGAACTAGATATTAACTGACAGCATTATATTCATGTTAATTTTTTTTGTTAATCCTCACCTGAAGATATTTTTTTCCATTGATTTTAGAGAGAGTGGAAGGCAGGAAGGGAGAGACAGAGAGAGAAACATCGATGGAAGAGAGACACATCGATTGGTTGCCTCCCACACGCCCCCAACCAGGGCTGGGGACTGAACCTTGAACGGAATCAAAGCCAGACCCTTCGGTGCTCGGGCGATTCTCTAACCACCCAGCCTCTCCGGCCAGCGCAATGCTAAATTTTCTGAGTGTGGCCATTCGTCTGTGGTTATGTAGGAGAATTTCCTTGTCTGCTGTGGACACCTGACTGAAAGTGACATCCGAGTCAGGGGGTGGGATTGCGTGGAGTCTTTAAGCTTTTACTTTGTTTTCAGGTCATCACATTTTTTAAAAATTAAGGAAAAAGCATTAGTTGAATTGGTGATGGCAAATGTCCCCCCACCTTCCTCCTGACTCCGCCAGTGGTGGCCCCTCTGGAAGGGGTCCTCCCGGAAGGACTGAGTGTGGAAGCACCAGTGCTGTCCCCTCAGCACCCCTTTAGCCATGAACGCATGAACACGTCTCTGTGTCCTCACATCCTCCATTCAGCTTCTACCAGAAAGAATGCCCCGGGGAACCTCGCCACCAGGTTTGAAAACCTGCCTCTTCCGAGTCAGGGGCGAGAGCTGGACCCATTAGTTCACAGCGGAGTGAATTCAAATCAATTCAAATCCAACAAACACTGTGAGCCACCGTGGGCCAGGTCGGGGGTTGGACAAAAGCACAAATGGAACATACTTTCAGCTCTCGGGAACTCCACACCCCGGGGTGGCCTAGCGGCCGCACGCATGCATTCCTCACCACACTTTACCGATGTAGTCGGAGAGGTTGACTTTCAGAGTCTGGACCAGGAGCCCTTCCTCCACCAGTTCCTTGTACAGAGACTCGATGGTTCTGGGAAGGGAGCAGACGGTCGGTTTCATGAGCACATACGCAGGGGCAGCAGTATTTCCACTAATCATCACATCTGCAGAGAACTTCAACCAGATCGATTTCAAAGTACGTTTGTATATGTGCAAACAAATGGGTTTTTGAGGCATTTCTACAATTTTGGGATAAATTAGACTTTTAAAAAAAAACAATACGTTCACACATTCATGTATATAGCAGATGTTTCCCAGGAACACGAATGGTATCTAAGGACCAGCTATAACGCCTGCTGTCTGTCCTTCCATTGGTCTTCATGATAGCACAAATGTGAATTAGAAATTACCCCAAAATAGTAACACAATGGACCATAACCATATATTCAGTTAGCATCGGCAAGCTGTGGTAGATCATTAATCCTCCTCAAAATTGATGTGTCCTTTTAAGCCAATAGCATAATCGTTCACAGGAAATATGTATAAAGAACAAAAGACTTACAGGGGAAATGATTCCAGTCTACAGTTCTGAGCGTGATGATCTTTCAGGAGGATATTATACTTTTCCATAGTGTTTACAGACGTCAAAACCACTTCCCTAAGAGGTCCTTGGGCACACAGCCAGCACACGGGTAATTTATACTAATTGAGGGAAAACATGGAGGTACTATGCCCCTTGATGAATGAGACTCCCCAGTGAAATTAACTGGGGCCCGACTTGCAGGAATTCAGATGGGTCAAGTTCAAATATTGTTTGGCAGAGTCCTTGGAGGTGTTTTGTCTTTTCCCTTTTCTCTCCCAGGGGCCTTACTCTTTCTTTAGATAGAGGAGCTGTAAATGTGACGATATGTAAACAGCTCCGTGGCTGCTCGAGGACCCAGGTTAGCGTGGATCCAGGTTAAAGACTTCAGAATATCAGGTTCAAGCCAAATACCAGTGGGATGAATGTTAATTCAATGACCCCAGCCTTTGATTGACTGGAGTTTTATTCCACCAAGTATATTTAAAACACGGTGCCCTCAGCTGAGAACGAAGGAGGTTTTAATTGTGATGGAATTTGGGATAACAGGATCTGACCTATGTCAAGGAAATATCAACTGTAGCAGTTTAGCTTGAATACCTTATTTAATATAAGCATATACCATGCACAAAATATTAACATGAAATGAAAGATTCTCTAAAGAATGGAAACTCTATATTAAGAACACAAACCTATATTTGAATATTGCCAGTGAAATGGGCTTTTGTTATAGAATACCTTTTCACCTTCAAAACTACCTTAAGCTATTATAAAAATACTGGATTAAGGTTTCTATTAATTTGATGAAAAAGACATTTCTTAGAGTGTCTCCATATGTCCTCAAAAGTTGGATCAGGATGCTATCGTTTAAACAATTTCTAAGACCCCCATGAATTTTAAAACGTAAAAAAGGTCACATGAGCTCAGAGGCAATGGCCCAACATGTGCCTTCCGGGCCCATCTTCCTGGTGCATCTCCCAGTAGGTGCTGCTCCTTGTACAGGGCGCACAGAGACCTCACTGTGCCCGTGACACCCACGGAGTGTGGGGAGCCAGCAGGGGCCCCTTTGCCAGATGGAGGCTGAGGACTCAGGTGTGCCCCATCCTCCTGTGGGTGTCCCCCCCGTGCCCCCTCCCCGTGCTTTACAACAAAACAGGGCTCTCCTTACCTGTCAGCCGTCAGGTCTTTATCCTTCCCCCTTCTCCCTTTCTTCCCCTTATTTTTCTGGAAGACAATGGAAATATCCAACAGGTTAGGAAAAACAAGGAAGCAGATTAACTCTAGAAATCAGCTAAGGGAGCTGGTTTCTGGCGGCGGTGGGAGGCCGAGGAGAAGCGGCTGTGGTAGGGAAACACGGAGCAGATAGAAGGCTGGCTCCATGAACGTAGGAACTGGCCCCAAGACCCCATGTTGCCCAGTGGACACGTCCCTGGGTGGACAGAAAGGGAGGGCAGCACCGTGAATCCGCATGGGGCCGCATTCCCATCAGGCCCTGGGCATTGTGATTCTGTTTCTCTGGGCTCTGACACAGGGTACAACAAAGCGTGAGAGGGCCGTGCACTCAGGCTAGCAAGTCACGCGTGTCTTTGGTACCCAGTCACCTCTCTGTTAGCACCCAGTCTGAAACCAGGAGCCCACAGGGCCGGGCAACTGTCCACCTCTGGTTCCCAAAGGGCTCTGCCTTCAGAGACTCGGGACAGCAGGGGAGGCGCAGAGAACATGATCTTTATAACGGGGCCTGTGGCCTCTCTATTCTGATGAGAACACCCCGCTCCCAGGAGAAGGTTAAGGTGCCTCAGCACAGGCACAGTGCTTCCAGCCCGGCCTCTCTCCTCCTTTCCTGCTTCATCTTCTATCTTAGGCCTCTTCAGGCGACCTGTGATCCGCGCCACACGGGACTGACCGCGGGCCCTTTCTTAACGCTCTGCTCTTTCTCTCCTCCCTATTTCCTCATTCATTCATTCATTCATTATTTTCATTGCAGTATAATTTCTGTACAATAATGTATACCCATGGCTTCTCCAGAACTCTGATGACCTATAAGGTTTTGTGCTACAACAAGGTAGGAACTCAAGAAAGAGAGAGATGGCCCCGAGAGGCAGGGCCAGCAATGTCATCAAGGAGTTGCCAGCTGATGAATGTGAATCGATTAATTTACAATAAGAAATAGAACTGTCCAGGGAAATGGACCCTGTAGATGTCCCCCTGGCCAGAAAATCAACATGGAACTATAACAACTGCTTACGAGGCTGCTTGGCGAGAATGCTGCAGACCAGCCGGCTGTAAATCTGAGCTTCCCACGATGCCCTCCCCGGGTTCCATTCATTTGTTGGAATGGCTCACAAAATTCAGGGAAACATGTCTATTGAAGGATATTGTAAAGAATACAGACCAATAGCCAGGTGGAGAGACACAGGAGGCGAGGTCTGGCAGAGTCCTGAGTGCAGAATCTCGGTGAAGTTGGGGTGCGTCATGCCCCTGGCATGTGATTTGTTCACCATTCTGAACACTCTCCGAACCCCGCCCTGGGGTTTTTATGGAGGCCTCTTCACGTCAGCACGGTCAATGACCCTCTCCCTTTCTGGCCAGCCTCCCTCCTCTAGAGAATGGAGGTGGGGCTGAGAGTTCCAGGCTCCTTGTCATGGATGCTCTTCCTGGGGACCACCTCCCATCCTGACCGATTCAGGAGCCTGCCCAGCGCTGCCCCATCAGAACAAGATGTTCCAAGTGCTCCTATCACTTAGAAATCTACAAGGGTTTCAGAAATTCTTTGACAGAAGTAGACAGAGACCAATATATATATTTTCTATGACCTCACAGGGCTCTAGGAAGGGAACTTTAATTATTCGGGTCCAACTGGCTACTCCGAACCACTGTGAGAAGGATCCATGGCAATTTAAAATTCAGTTCATCTGATCTGCCCCCGCCCCAAAGAAGCTGCTCATTGCCATCGACCCCACACCCTCACAGATCTACCTACAGGGAGAGATGGGTGGGCATGTGAGGCACGTGCCCTGGCTCCTCTAGTTCCCCTCCAATCGTTGGGGCCTGGACGATCAGAACCCACAATGGTGAGGGTTGACTTTATCCCCACAACCCGAGGGCTAAGTGGTAAAACAAGGCAGATTCAGGGAGGGAAGGCATGTTCCCCCGGAAGCAGAGGGACAGCCAGGTGGGCTGGGCAGCATCCTGGCCACGCCGTTGGAGCCTGGGAAAGGGGCTCCTTGTCAGGGTTGGAATCTTCCCTCGGCCTCATCCCTCCCCACACTCATTCACTACTCACATTTTTACCTCCTTTCTTTCCTGCTTTGACCGGAAGTTCCTTTTCTCTATTCACGGCTAGTTTGATGTTTTTCAGTTCCTGTCTCATCAGCTCATCAACCTAGGTGAATACAAACACACGGCTTTTAGGTGACTTCCATGCCTTGTGTGCCCTCAGTTCCGGGTCGGTCATGAGGAGGACGGCGCTGCCATGAGGGCGTGGTGTCAGCACGCCAGCAGTGTGGCTCTACCTCAGCGGTTCTCAACCTGTGGGTCGCGACCCCTTTGGGGGTCGAACGACCCTTTCACAGGGGTGGCCTAAGACCATCGGAAAACACACATATAATTACATATTGTTTTTGTGATTAATCACTATGCTTTAATTATGTTCAATTTGTAACAATGAAAATCCATCCTGCATATCAGATATTTACATTACGATTCATAACAGTAGCAACATTACAGTTATGAAGTAGCAACGAAAATAATTTTATGGTTGGGAGTCACCACAACATGAGGAACTATATTAAAGGGTCGCAGCATTAGGAAGGTTGAGAACCACAGCTCTACCTGAACCCGGATCTCCGACTCCAGCTCCTTCCGTTTCTCCTCTTTGATCATTTCCGGATCGTAGTCCTGGAGGAAATTCAATGACTCGTCTTTGTTCTTCCATATTTCTATGCTCCAGAAGGACAAAGAAAAGGAGAATGAATATTTCTTTCAACATGAAGACAGGCAAGCAGCTCCTGCAACAGAAAACACACGTTTACTTTCTACACGCAGGTCCGGCGGGCCCACCTCACTGCGGGGACCGGCGACTCAGCAGGAAAGCTGGCCGGGCACAGTCAGTCTGGATCCAGGTCTGGCAAGGACAGAAGACCTCAGAGGCTGGAATGGGCCCATGTGGCAGGAGTGGGCATACAGGAGGGGGATGACAGCGGGGCTGAGTTTTTATTATTTGAAATAACCACTCCCACGAGTGAGAGAGGCATGGGCCCATGTGGCAGGAGTGGGCATACAGGAGGGGGCTGATAGCCGGGGCTGAGTTTTTATTATTTGAAATAACCATTCCCATGAGTCAGAGAGGCCTCCCCCGTTTCCAGAGTCAGAGCACGAGGAAAACAATGGCGTAAAAGGTCTATATCATCCCATTGGTGTGAAAAACGCCTTCAGTCACAAATAAATGAACGTCATCTTGTCCCGAGCCCTCCGGAAGGTGAGTTTGTGGTTAGCGTGTTGGGTGTGTGCACCGAAAGCTCAGCTGGTTTGCTGAAATGTTCATAAGCTTAAATGAGGAGAATTGGAGATGGAGGAGTAATAGCACGCTTCTTCTTATGTGTTTAAAGTTGTAAGCTTCCCCCCTCAAAAATACTATAAAAGGTTTAAATGTGTCCTATTTGTTAACAGTAAATATACGATTAACTAATAACAATAACTAATGAGAATGTACTATCTACTTATGACAACTCTTTTCTAACTTATATGATGACTAAATCTTCTCCAACAGTGATTTATAAGCGTTTCAATAAAGCAAAACTGCTTTGTTATTTATTAACTTTGCTTTTCACTTAGATACTAGTTTTACCAAAATCGGGAAGCAATGCATTCAATAATGAGAAGAACACATCAAGAAACAGCACGTGCTGGCGAGGATGCAGGGAGGAGGGGAGCCTTGTGCACTGTTGGTGGGATGCAGGCAGGCGCAGTTGCTATGGAAAACAGTATAGAGGGTCCTCAAAAAGAAGTTAAAAATGCATCTGCCTTATGACTCAGCGACTACACTTCTGGGTATATATCCAAAGAAATCCAAGACACTAATTCAAAAGAATATATGCACCCCTGTGTTCATCGCAGCATTATTTACAATAGCTAAGCTATGGAAGCAACCCAAGTGCCCATCAATAGACAAGTGGATAAAAAAGGGGTGGTACCTATACACAATGGAATATTACTTGGCCATAGAAAAGAACGAAATCTTACTATTTGTGACAAGACAGCGTGGATGGACATAGAGGGTATTATGCTAAGTGACATAAGTCAATTAGAGAAAGACAAATACCATAGGATTTCACTTATATGTGGAATCTAAAGAACAAAATAAATGAACAAACAAAATAGAAACAGACTCATAGACACAGAAAACAGACTGTTGGTTGTGGGTCCAACTGGCTACTCCGAACCACTTCACACCCTGCTCCCCTGGGGGGTGGGGGCTGGCTGAAAGGAGTAAGAAGCACAAATTGGTAGTGACAAAAAAGTCATGGGGATGTAAAGTACAACATTGGGGATATAGTCAATAATATTGTAATAACTGTGTAGGGTGCCAGGTGGAAAACACATAAAAATTTTTTTAAAAAGCAGAAAGGGACACAGACTTCCACAGAAAGGAAAGCATGACGCGGTTACTGATGTAACAGCAGTCGCCCCTCGGGGCCAGTTCCCGGCGCTGTAACTGTAACACAGCGATGCAGCCCGCCGACCGCACCTCCACTCCATTCACGGGCCAGGCCTCGTTTCCACCGAGACTTTGCCTTTCTCATGACACTTCTGCACAGGGCACTTCTCAATCCCTTCAAGAATGTCACGGACATTTGTAAATGCAGGCAGCCATTCACTGCCCTCCAAGGGCAACCCCTGCCCTGCTCCCCCCTCCAGCAGAGAATGAGCCTTTATCTGAGACTGAAAAGCAGGCCAGGCCCTTTCACACGTTAGGGGGTGAAGAGGGAGGGGGCTTCATCTCAGCGATTAAAATGCTAATGTTTGCTCTGAAAAGGAAAACCTTTGATTTTTAAGAAAAGAGATCTAAGACAGGACATTTCATTTCTTTAAGTCACCGAAGACCTGGCACATAACACACAAAATGCCACACCACCCGCCCAGGGGAGTGACACCGTGTCCTGCTCCGGAAGGGCCACTGGGCCTGCTTTGGTTTTAGTTGTCGTTTTTTTTTGTGTGTGTGTGTGTGTTTTATTTTGCCGTAATGGAAACAGATATTACACAAAAGGCATGGATAGTCTCAAGAGCTTTCCTGGAGCGTTTCCTCGGTTAAAAGACTTGGCTTCTCCAGGAAACGTAAGATTTTCCCCAAATTAATTTTTCCTTTTATCAAAACAACGCATGCACATTGTCTTCAACAAAGTTCGAGAGTATTAAAAGATTATAATGAAAAATTGTCTGTCCGCCTCCAGGACATTGCCTGATGACATTCATTCCCACGTTCATTCATTCATTAGAAAATGCACTGAAAAAATTCAGATGTTTTCATAAATCTGACTTATTCACATGCTATGTAATTTATAAGTACTTTCTCCACAAATTGTTAAATTCAGACTTTATGGAACCTCATTACCAGCCAGGCACTGTCCTCGGAGTGGCCCAGAGCAGCAGGCCCTGCTTCCAAGGACCCGGCTTCCCGCTGCAGGAAGACAGTGAACACACACATCCAAGTCAGATGGGGGGAAGTCAAGCTGGGTCAGGGTGGGCACAGCGTCAGGCGGGGAAGGCCTGCAGGGACAAGCATTTCAGGCAAGGGGAACAGAAGGTACGAGGGCCCTGAGGTGGAAGTGTGATTGCCTTGCAGGTGGAGGAGCAGAGCAGCCTAGGGGAGCAGGGTGTGAAGTGATGTATTTTCACATGAGCTTTGGCTGTTTCTCGGGTCTTCTCCCAGTGTCTAAATAACATGCTTATAGCGCTACCTGTTGATTTACCAATGTTAGCCATGAGCTCCTGACTTCTTATGATGGTCGATGAAGATTTTGCTCTCTCCCACTTTTTCTCTTTGTCCCTTGTTTTCAGAGAAGAGAGCCAGGCCTTCCAAATGCTGGGGAACTGTTGCCCGTGTGCGTGCAGGACAATACCTAGATTACAGGGCACTGAAGTCCCCTTCTCAGGATGTCCTGGAGGACGGGCTCCACCTCAACGAGGGGGTAATGAGAGGATGAGGGGGTGGCAGTCAGGAGAAGCAAAGGAGGCCCGAGGATGAGGTGCCCGAGCCCTGGGAGCTAGGGCTTCTGGTCAGTTACCTAATCTGTTGGAAGGCAGGGAAAATGAGCTTGAAGGTCCAAGAGAATATGAAACAAGTGAGGGTTTAACTTACACAAGCTACCCAGCATATGGCACTGTCCCCACCCCATCCACCGCCACCATCCAGTAGGCGTGTTGCTGGCATGTACCACTCTGTATCTCCAGGTTGGCACAGTGCCAGGCACACGGGAGACAGCCAATGATGTTGAATGGATGTTTTTGATAGTGACTGCTCCGCTCTGTTGTTAGTTAAAGAGTGGATGAACTCTCAAACCTCAGTGACGGCAGGTCTATCAGCACCTGCCGACAGGGGGCAGTGATGCTCACCTGTCCTGGTTGTTGTGAAGAACTGAAGTCAGCATGGGAAACACTAAGCTTTGCATGTCTGGGGCCCCTAATAAGTTTAAACTCCCCCCCACCCCCCCGCCTTCCTCCCCAGTTAGAGCAGCACCCAGTCCTGCCAACATTGTCCTCTCCTCTGGGCTTCTCCCGCAGGTCAGCCTTTCACGTAGAGCAAGACCCTCACTCTAGTGCTTGGTGAGAAAATTTTAGGGGTACACGACACTCTTACTTTGGATAACTGGTATATCAAACCTGTAAGGACACTGCGATTGTGGCTGAGGATGAGGTTCCATTTATTGGGGTAAAACCATGAGTCAATTTAATAATATGTTATGTAATCACCAGCATGGGTGCTGTCCAGACAGGACCAGAGTCAGGAGGAGGCGCACATGTGCCTGACGCTGGGGAAACACCACTTCACGCCCTTGTTGCATTTCTGAGAAATTCCCAACTACCACCAACCAGCACCAACGACAACAGTCCCCGTGGCCAGTCATTCTGTGCTGGGGTTTATCCTGAGGGTGGAGTGGACCCAAAGGAATTGGACAATTGTTCTTGTAAATCTTTGTGGAAACATCTGAAAGGCCGATCCGCACGCTTGCAGCTCCGGCTGGATGTGGCTGTGCTAATTATGAGAACAGGGACAAAGAACGGTGTCGTATTCGGGCACAGGTCTAACAGGGCTAAAACCTTTTGCTGTATAGATAGTATCGGTTTGCCAAACCATCCAGGACATAGCTTCCTTCCCTTTCATTACAGCCAGAGAATGTGAAGTGTTAGGGGTCCAAACACAGAATGGAGGTTTGGATTATGTTCTCATCCTATTTTCTCACCCATTATATGCCTTCTTCCTTACCCACTACCTGCCTTCTTCCTTACCCACTATATGCCTTCTTCCTTACCCACTATATGCCTTCTTCCTTACCCACTATATGCCTGGAAGGCACTCAAAAGAATCTGAAAATAGAGGTGGGCAGGTCTTGGCTCTGAGCTGCATGCTCGCAGCCTCTCCTGATGGGGTGCTGGGTGCTGGGGTCAGGGGCCTGCAGGCAGACAGAGTGACACCTCAGTTGTTGCTCTCATTCTCCAAAACTGACCTTTGTATATGTTATTTCCTTCCTCCATTGTTTGAAGGAAAGCACTGGGTGACATTTTCCACAGCTCATCTTCCTCCTGTTAAGCAGAATGATATTTCTGTGACTCGCAGGCACAGTGCATCTGCCGAGACCGGACAGAAGGGGTGCATCTGTCGTGACTCCTGCCCCCATGGTCCCCACACAGACTCCTCCCTGGGCAGCACCCCTGCGGGCCGCCGGACTCAGGGCGTGGATGGTTCGGGAGGTGTAGCTCCGCTGCTGGCTCATGAGGCGCCCTGATACCGCTGCCCACACCGGTCGCCTCCCCTGTGGTCCCCACGCCCTGCGTTTGGTCCTATCCCCTTCCTCCGCCAAGATGCCATCCAAGCCCCACCTGGGCTCCAGGGCAGAGCCAACCACCTGCCCGAGCACCTGCTGACCACGCCATCCTGGGTCCCTGCACCGCCTGCAGGTGAGGCTGAGCCCTCACCCCCTGGAGAAGTCCCCTCTGCCCCGCGGCTCCCCCTGTGACAGCCCGGCTTGCAAACCCTCATCTGAGGTTTCTGAGCAATAATGTTTGTTTATACCGTTTGAGTGCCAGGTGCCTGCAGACTACTCTCCTGGCTGTTGTCACCCCACAGAGGGAGGGGAATACTGTGGTGGACGTGATGTCCATGAGGAGGTTTCCTGGGCCCCCGGGTACTCCCTCCACAGCTGAGAGGCAGCGCGGCCACCAGACGATGAGCACTTTCCCAGCGTGGCTCCCGGAGGGCGTGGGCGTGTCCCTCCTTTCCGGAGGCCATGCACCCAGGGCCGGAGGGGAGACCGGTGAACGGAGCTCACAGAGTGAGGGGCTCCGAGGAGGAGGGGGTCGGGGTGCTGGGGGTCATTCATGGAGGGCCTGCCTGGAGTCACAGCTCACAAATCATGCGGGGCTGCTGCAGCCCAGGAGGGAGACCACCTGCCTTGCAGAACCTGGGGGAGAACTTGAGCCCAGAAACACCAGGGGTTCAGAGCCCAGGGAGCAGCTGCGCCACCTTCCAGGACCCACAGGAGACCAGAGCTCACTGGGAAGGTACCTCCACCCCCATCCCCTCAGTGCCCAGGGCTGGCCACCGCCGCTCCTGGCTACCCCACATCCAGTCATTTGAGAAAAGCCTGCGAGGTCAGCAAGAAGACCAGTGTTGGGTAATGCATGTCCTTAGAGGAAAGAGCTAATGTATGGCCACCCGGGAAATTTGAAATAACTGCAATTAATTCATATCTCTCTCTTCCGGTGTCACTGAGGACTCATGGGTCTTTGATATTTTTTAGTCAATGTATTGCTATTATTGCCATTTTTGTTTTGGATACTCAGATGTCCTAGTTAGCCTCTGGGAGCCCCTATAGGTGAGAATATTGCCTTTATGAGGAGGAGGAGGAGAGGAGGAAGGAGAGGAGGGGTAGGAAGAGGAGGGAAAGCAGGAGTGGAAAATTCCTGTTAGATCTGAGGCAAATGTCCCCTCCTCTGTGAAGCCGTCCTGGATTCCCCCAGCAGAAGTGACTTTCCCCTTGCTCAGCAGGACGCTCTGGCATCCTGGCGTCTGTTTCTCTGTACGGATTACTGGCTATTCACATGTCCTGAGTGCTTGCTTGGAGCAGGGTTCCATCTTGCTGATGTTCTGTATCCTGCCTCAACCCCGCACTGTGTCTGGTCCCAGAATAGGTGTTTAAGGCACGTAGGTAAAAGTGAGATGGATAGGTCTATTTGTATTACTTTGTTTCTATAATAAATATTAAGTTCTTGAGGGGAACGCAACATGGAGGCCAATTGGGGACTCTGATCCTGGCCGCAGAGAATGATGGGAGTGCAGATACTCCCAGACGTCGGGGCACAGCGCTCCACATGGTGCCCACATACCAGGCGGTCTCGGAGACACCTTTTCACTGCAGGAGAAAGCATGATGAAAGTGCTTGCTTTCCTCTGGACGACATTCTTCCTATGGTCGACAGCCCTTGAAGTTTATTGGGCCTATCCCTTTCTCTGGTTGCTGTTTTAAACATTCAGTATTTTGCTCATTTTGACATTTGTAAGTTATAACCCCGACCTGGGAAGGGGATGTAACTTACAACCCAGATATGTACCCTTGACCAGGAATGGAACTCACTGCCCTTAAATGTGTGGGCCAATGTTCTAGCCACTGAGAAACACTTGGCATTCCCCCAAGAGCAAACTCCTGAATGGCTCAGAACCCAGGCCACACTTGTTCTTGGGTGGCCATGCCTTGCCCTGACACCGTCTCCGGTCTCCCCGCCTCTCCGTCCTGTACCTGACTGGCCTCCCTGCCTTGGTCACTTCCTCCCCCGCAGTCCATCCCACAACATGGCCGTGCAGCACAGATCTTAGACTATAACTCACTGAACTCCGAGCTGCTCAAGTCACTGCCCGGAGCTGACTCCTCTCTGGAGGCACAAGGCTCCGCCAGCCCCCCCAGCCCATCACCCGCTGCACCTTGGCGGCCCCACCCGCTGCACATCCCTCTCTGAAGCTGTCCTCTGGTTCTTTGACTCAGAGACTGCCTGGAACCCCGCCTGGAACCCCTCATCCTGCCTCCAATACTTGTTCTCCAGGTCCCTCTCAATAGCCCCCCCGCTACCTTTGCTCATTTGTAACATCTCAGGAACCTACAAAGCTTTCAATCTTCTCCCTGTGTGACATTTTGAAGAGTATTTTCTGTTTCTAGAGGTTAGTGGAAATATTCAGATAATCCTATCAGCTTTTTAAAACTATGAGGTCTTTCCTAGTTTTCTGATTATACACATGTGGCTGGTGACTGACAAGCCACTAAGTTATGAGATACCAGAGCATAGTCACAGCTCTGCCCCTCGACACAGGCCGCGTGAGTCAGTGTCTGTGCACGTTCAAAGGAACTAGTTCCTCTCTCCAGGCCTTACCCTCCCACCAGAATGAGTAACAGATGTCATTTTCTACAGGTCAAAATACCAACTCACACATGGGTTTTGCTGGTCTCAGGAATGCTTCCAGACACTTGAGGGTTGATTCTAGAATACTTTTAAAAGCCAATGGGGCCTTAACTGGTTTGGCTCAGTGGATAGAGCATTGGCCTTTGGACTCAAGGGTCTCAGGTTCGATTCTGGTCAAGGGCATGTACCTTGATTGCAGGCACATACCCAGTAGGGAGTGTGCAGGAGGCAACTGATCGATATTTCTAACTCTCTATCCTCCCTTCCTCTATGTACAAAATCAATGAAATATATATTTTAAAAAAAAGTTGATTGGAAAGATAGTCTTATCTCTAAGAAGCATACCTGCATAATTTAAATATATCAATTTTTATTAGTGATGACCATTTATTCTTTTAATAATCACACTGTCACTTTGGAGACCTGTACTTTTCAGGACTAAATTCATTTCTAAATGATTCTGCAGGGTGTCGTCTCTCATTTGCAACTACATCATAAATACTGATGTACTCAAACTTTGTTTTTTGTTCCAAACTGTTCATCGTTAAGTGGCTCTTTAAAAAAAGTTTTTATTGATTTGAGAGAGAGAGGAAGGGAGAGGGAGAAAGAGATGGAAACATCGATGAGAGAGGAACATCATCAAACGGCTGCCTCATGCAAGCCCCATTCTTGGGATTGAGCCCGCAACCCAGGCATGTACCCGGCCGGGAATCGTGCCGGCAACCTCTTGGTGCATGGGTCGATACTCAATCACTGAGCCACACTGGCCAGGCCTTAGGTGACTCTCAAATAGCTAGTTAATAAAATACCATCACTCAACACAGACCAGATTGCGTAGCTGGTAGTACTTTCAGATTTTTATGAAGCGAGCTTCACTCACAGTGAATTTTCAATCTGTAAATGGCAGGCGCCCTCAAGCATCCCGAGAGAAGAGATGCTCAGAATAACACTGAAACTCTTCCAATTGTTCTTACTCTTGGGGGCTGCTTAAACCTCTCTTACCAAGCGAGAGGAGGATTATTAAATCAGCATTCTTGTGTGAGTTGTCTTTTTTGGGGGGAGATGAGGGAACAGTTTATAACTTTTGGGGTGCAGGCAGATTAGCAGGGCAATAGGTGGTCTCACGAGTTGGGTTCCGTGGAGATACTCAGAGGGTTTACTGGGAGCAGCACCCACAGGAGAGGCGGGGAGGGAGCAGCGGCTCGGGGCCCAGGGAGAAGCTGATGGTTACACAATTACAAGGAGCTCTCGCTGATCCCACAGAGAGCCAGGAGCTGGGAGAGCCCTTCGGAGTGGCCCCAGTGAGGTGAGGGGCTGGGCCTTGGTACTCTAACGTGACTGTCCTTGGATGCAGCTGCCCTGGGGGTGGGGGATGGTAACCTCAGGTGGATCAGCTGCCTTAGACCCGGAGGTCAGAACATTCTGGGCAGTTGGGGACGGAGTGCCTGGGTCCGGAAGGGGACGCCCAGGGGGCCCACCTCAGCATCGAAAGGATGGCAACCTACTGTCGATCAGCATAAACAAAAGGAGAAAACTGCTGGTTGACAGCGTGATTTCCTTGGAAAGGACTGACTGCCATCTCAGCAGATCTGAGATGATCCCATTGAGTCAAAGCATAAGAGCAAAAAACTCAACTTTCTAAAATTCCAAATTCCTTACCTTACTTTTTTCTTTTGGTACTTTCTTTTCCTTAACTTTTTTGACTGGCTTTTTTTCCTTTTTCTTCTCCTTCCTTCTTTTTTCCTCCTCTTCTTGGGCTGCAATAATATCTTGAATAACCTGGTGAAACACGAAACAATGGTAGCATTTTAATGGACCTATCACGAGGAGGACTGTTTTTCTTGTCTGGATGGAAGTGTTTGCTGGTCAGTCTCGGGTCTCTGCCTGCTCTGGGCCCAGAGGCTGGCTCCTCCTGGGACATCACAGGGCTCTCGCCTGCCTCTGGGCGGGTTCGTCAGTGGGAGGCAGCAGTCGGGCCTCTGAGGGCAGATGGAGAGAGAGGTCGGGCGTCCTGAACCCAGCTCCTCCCCAAGGCAGAGCTGCTCAACTCCCAGCAGCTCCACGACACGAGGGGATCGAGGCTTCCTCCACACCCGAGCCACGAGCCACGGCCTCAGTGCCAGGCCTGGCCACACCTCTTCCCCCAATCCCAGTTGGGGACACCTTGTTTCCTGCGGTGGCTCTGATGGTGACAGCTGCTCTTGCAACAGCATCACGTTCCCATAAACGATCACGTGTCTCTTCTCAGAGTTGGTTTCTTCCAGCTGTGGTTTACTTTGTATTTCCTACAGTGACCAAACCCGTTTACTACTCTACAATTAAAATATTTGTTAAGTAGTACCTGGTTCACACAGGACCAGCGTCATCGAAGAGTCAGTAAAGGCTTCTAACATGCCATACAATTCAGTTCAATGCAACGGATGCCTCAGGAGCTCTCACTCGCTGGGACGGAGAGCTATGGAGGGTGAGGATGATACGTAGGACACACATCCTGTTTGACCCTCAGGCTCTGCTCATCACTGGCCATGGGACTGAGATGAGCAACATACCTGATCTGAGACTCAGTTTTCTCAGCTCTAAAACGAAGTTAACACGTCCGTCCACAGCACTGGCGATATGCAAGGCCCGGTTCTGCGAGCTCCACCGACTAATTCCTCTACTCCTAGACTCAGCCCTGGGTGGCGCTGTTATCACCCATTTTACTGATGAAGGAACTAAGGCACAGAGTTCAGTAACCTGGTCAAGGACACAGCTAGTGAGTGGCTGAGCTGGGATTAAACCGGTGCTCACCAGGATGCATTTCGTCATGTAGGAGAGAGGAGGTGAGACCAGAAAGGATATGTGCAAACTCATCCTATAGTATGACATGCGTATAGTTAAGTAAAGAATAACGCTCCGCAGCTTCAGGATATATGCATGTGTAGTCTAAGCGTAAAGAAACGGAAAGGAATGACAAACAGCCCCTTGTGCAGAGCACGGTGGGCAGGTTTCGAAGGCTGACACTCCCCTCTAACGTGCTATGCTCCCCTCTAACCCATCCTCCTGGGAGCAAGGCCACCTGATTATGTCTTATTAGTATTTACCCAAAATGCTCAGTTTATTCTCTAGTAATATATACATATTTAAAATATACATAATGCTGGGCTGGGGGTGGGTTTACCTGGAAGCAAAAGAGCTTGGGCTTCAGAAACCCTCACCTGCCAAGTCCCTTCTTAGGCATGTATCTCATTTGTGTTTGTAATTTACATTCTTCTCCTTAAAGAGGGTCCTCAAATCAGATAACCTTCTGGCCCCATAAAACCTATATCTGTCAGGTAAAAGAAAAGAAGTCGATACAATTTTTTTTTGTAATGTATTTATATTGATTTCAGAAAAGATGGGAGTGGGGGAGAGAGATAGAAACATAAATGATGAGAGAGAATCACTGATCGCTGCCTCCTCCTCGCCCCCTCTGGGGATCGAGCCCACAACCCAGGCATGTGCCCTGACCGGGAATTGAACCCTGATCTCCTCGTTCATAGGTGGACACTCAACCACTGAGCTACACTGCCACTCTAGTATTATATTTTTGATGTTTATTACCTATGTTGCTCTTGCGAGCTTAATTCACACCTTTTAAAGTATGAAAAGCAGCTTTATCATGAACAGAGCAGCCATTCTGGCACCATCTGGACTAAAAAAACCCTAAACAAAACTAGTCATGTGAGCTTGCATTCTAGGAGACTGCGGTGGGGTGAGGCCCTGAGAAGGGCATTGGGGAGGTGAGAGGTGACGTATGTGTTGTGTGTATTTTTTGGTAATAAAAAGGGTGTCTTTGGACAGGATTAAAAGTCTCTTGTCAAAATAGCAATGTTTTCCTTGGGGATCGAGTTCACCTCAACTCGTAGAACCAAATCATGGCTGCCCATGAGTGTTGTATTCTGAAGCACTGTGGGGCATGGACAGTTTTTGGTTCTTGGAAGTTTAAAAACTTTCAGAAATGCAAAGACTTTTAAAAATACATAAAAATGTGAGCAGTTGCAAAAAGGATGAAATCGTTATTTGTGGAGCATACAATTCAGCATATCTTTTATAGCCTTATCAATTGTGTTGTTTGTTCATTTAGTTTTTGAATAGGTAATACATTTACATGGCTCAGAATTCAAAAATAACAAAAGAGCATGTAGTGAAACATTTCCTCCCATGCTGTGAGCCAGCCAACAAGATCCACTTTAGAAAGCCAACTCATACCTTAGATATGCTTCCGGAGCCATGGTAGATAGATACATGAAAATGTGTGTGTGTGCACACACCCATGTACAGAAAGCACACTAACATCGTCTGCCAATCATGTCCATGAAAAATGGTATGTGATTGTGGTGGTCCATCTTTTAAACCAACACTGAATTTATTTTGCTCATGCTCTTCAACTATAGCAAAATCCTCCAAAGTGCACACATATGTACACACACATACATGTACTATAAGCATATATTTGCTGTGCAACCATCTCCATAAATCAATTTTAGAACATTTCCAAGATCCCAATAAGATTCCCTGGTGTCTATTCATTGTTAATCCCTTTTCTCTCCCCTCTCCTCCATCCGGGCCAGCACTAGTCTACTTTCTGCCTCTACATATTTAATGTTTCTGGACATATCATATAAACGAAATCATAGAACATGTAGTCTTTAGGGTCTGGCTTCCTTCACTTAGCATGTCTTTGAGGTCACCCATGTTGCAGTGTGTACCAGATGTTTGTTCCTTTATTTATGGCTAACACTCTATTGCATGGATTGACCACATTTCACCTCTCCATTCACCAGGTGATGGACAGTTAAGTTGTTTCAATTTTTGGCTTTTGTGAGTAATGCTGCTATGCATATTTATATACTAGTATATAAAAGCCTAAGCGACCATTACGACCGAACGTCAGGTCGACCAGTCCTATGACGTGCACTGACCACAGGGGGCAGATGCTCAATGCAAGAGCTGCCTCCTCATGGTCAGTGAGCTCCCACAGCCAACCTTCCAAGGCTGGCCAACCTCCTGTGACCTCTCCCCCTGGCTGGCCAGCCCCCCCATCGGCTCCGATCGGGGGAGGGGAGCAGCTGGCCAATCTTCTGCGGCCCCTCCCCCCGGCCGGCTGGCCCCCCAATAGGCCTCGATCGCCAGCCAGGCCAAGGAACCCCACCCATGCACGAATTCGTGCACCAGGCCTCTAGTTCATGTATAATTTTTTATGTGTGTAGACATATACTTTCATTTCTTTTGGATAGAGTCCTAAGTATGGAACTTCTGGGTCATTTGTAAATTTATGCTTAACTATTAAGAAAGTGACAAACTGGTTTTCCAAAGTGGCTGCCACATTTTACATCCCCACCAGCACTGTATGAGGGCTTCCTTTTCTCCACATCCTCAACATTTGCTGACAGTGGCAATTATTCCAGGAGGCAAGAATCTTTTTGATAATGGCCATCCTGGTGGGTAGAAAATGGTATCTCTTTGTGGTTTGAATTTTGTTTTCCTAGTGACTAGTGATGTTGAGCATCTTTTCATGTGTTTATTAGCTGTGAACTGTTTATTCAAGTCTTTTGCCAAGTTTTCCATTGCCTTATTTATCTTCTCATCATTGACATGTGTAAGGGTTCTTTGTATATTCTGGATACAAGTCCTTTATCAGGTGTATGTTTTCAAATATCTTCTCCCAGTCTGCTCTTGTCTTTGCATTTTCTTAATGTCTTTTGAAATGCAAAAGTTTTGAATTTTGATGAGGTTCAATTGATCAATTTTGTCTGCAGTGTAGCTTTAATTTGCATTTCTCTTATATGTGTGAGGGTGATTATCTTTTCATAAGCTGAACACCTTTTATTATGTTTCAAATCCATTTAGGTTTTCTGTTCTGAGAACTGTCTGTTCATATCTCTTGGCTGTTTTTTATGTTGGGTTATTGATGTTCTTATAGAGCCATGGGAGTTCTTTATATATTAGAAAAATCATCTCTCTCTATGATACTTATTACAAATAATCCTCCTAGTGAGTCCTCTGCCATTTGACTTGACTTGGGGTTGGTTCTGCCAAGCAGGTTAAAACTATTTTTTGTGTGTAGTTGAATTTATCATTTTTTCTTCTATGACCCTGGGATTGTTCAACAGCAGTAGAAAGGTCTTTCTCACCATGAGGTTATGACATATTTCTTCCTTGGCTTCTTCAAGTCCTTTTGTGTTTTTGTTTTGTTTGACATTTAAATCTTTGATCCATTTGAAACCATTCTGGGATAAAGAGATGATGTAATATTCTTCTTTTTTAGATGACAACCTGGTTATTCTAATACCGTATATTAAACTAGAGGTCCGGTGCATGAATTCATGCACAGGTGGGGTCTGGCTGGTCCGCCCTGGATTGGGACTGATTGGGCTGGGCCAGCCGGGGGGAGGGGACTCAGGAGGTTGGCCAGCTGGCCCCACCCCCTGGTCAAACTTCCAGTCGAGGGGGCAATTTGCATATTAGCCTTTTGTTATAAAGGATAGTCTTTTTTTCCCCTTATACAAGAAAGGTGAGGTGCCACATTTATTATATAACTATCTTTAAATATGTACTTGGGTATATTTCTTGAATTTCCATTCTTTTCCTCTGATGTGTCTTTCTAGTCATCTGCTTATACCAATGGTCCTCTAATGACATGTTTTCATACACAGCAGGGCTCATTACTCCTCATTACACTTTATTTTCTGAATTTTACTGGTTGTTCTTGGTTATTTACTTTCTACCTGAAGTTTAGACTTGGGTTGGTCACCCTCCCTGTAACCCCTCCCACCCATGCTCCAACATAATGCTCCTGATATTTTTATTGGGTCAATGACATTTATAGCTGATGCTGGGGAGAGCTGAAGTATTTATGATGTTGAGTATTTCTACCTAAGGACACTGTATGCTTTCCCATCTTTTTGTTTGCATCCCTCAGAATATTTTAAACTCTTCCTCACATAAACACATATTTAAGTTTACTCCTGGGTACTTTATGTTTGTGTTGTTGCTATTGTAAATGGGCCCTTTTATTATATTTCCTATCTAGCAGTACCCACAAAAGCTACTGCTTTCTGTACATTAATTTTGTAACTCCCTCATCTGATTTCTCATATATGTTAAAGTAGTTTTTCAGTTCATTCTCTTTGCTTTTGTAAGTATAGAACACATGTTCAAAGGGTGATCATTTTGCCTTTTCCATTCCAATCTCTACATCTCTATGTTCTTTTTTTTTTTTTTTGTCTGTCAGTAATCCATAGATCAGATGGGAGAAAGATGACAAAGGCCACCCTTGTATTTTTCCTGACATTAGTGAAAATGTTTCTAGTGAATTTCACTAAGCATGACATTGGCTTTTAAACTAAAATGGAAATATTTTGTCATGATAAAGAAGTATCCGTATATTTTCATTGTTTTGTTTTATTTTTTAATAACAAGAATGGATGTTGAATTTGCCAAATGACCTGTCAGTATCCACCGTGATGAGCTTATGGTTTCCATGTTTGGCTCTCTTTATATGACACAGTGTATTCATATACATCCTGAGATTGAACTATTCTTACATTCTGGAATAACTGTGCTTGCTTGATTGCGGTGTGTTGCTTATTTAAGGTGCTGCTGGGTTTTAGTTTGCTAATATTTCAGTTGAAATTTTTGCACTAATACTCATAAGGAAGACTGATCTGTGGTTCGATTTGTACTCAATCTTTTGGGGGCTTAGTATCAATGTGATTATGCTCTTTTCATTAAAAAGTATTTGTACTGTTTTTATTTTTTACAAATATAAACTTGACTACATGTATCATTAGAATGATTAGGCTTGGTCTACCTCTTCATCCTACTACAACTAACATTTGTAACAATTGCTAAAGCTTCCCGAAAGCTTTCCGCGTGCCCAGTTCTGTTTTCAGTACAAGTATCATCCCCTCTAATCAGTGCATCAGACCCAGGAGGTAGGCACGGCTTGGGTGTCCTTGTGCAGATGAGAAAACCGAGATGTAGGGGGACTAGCTGGCCTCAGGCTGCAGACCTAGCATATGGGGACTGTGACTTCACCACGCCAGCCCGACTCCTCAATCGTCTGCTCTGTGGTACCTTTGTGTTATTTTAATTATTAACCAGGCATCCTCAGTTCTCTCTTGTTTTTAGTTTGACTAGATGTTAACTCTACTTTTAGATGTTTCTCCTGTACAATTTAGACATTCCACTGACATTCTTAATCCTATAATTGTTACCTTTCTAAACTAACATGCAACGTGTTTGGCTGCTTGCCATGGACTTTCAAGACAGGACTTGTGCCTGATGATTTAGCTGGAGGGACAAGACCTAAACATAACGAGTGAAATAACACCAGTCCAAACCACAGTCACTCAGGTAGGGCCTGGTGACCTGCCAAACAAGGGGGTGGGTATTAAGTGTCCACGGAGTTCAGAGGAGAAAGATGGGAGTCCTCTGGGGGTGGAGGGAAGGCTCTGGAAGCTGAGTTGGCTTTGACCGGGAAGTGGGGGAGACCTGTGTGCTTGACTCTGAGAGCTCCTGCAGGGGTGCACAGGGGACAGACAAGGTGACCAGAGCCCTCCACAGCTGCACAGTTCCTACTGAAAACCAGTAGCCCATTTCCTGCTTTGTCAATGCTATAAACAAGGCAAACATGAACAGCTTTTTCAATGTCTGTGGCAGGGATCAGTGAATTACAGTGCCTGGGCCAACTCTGGCCTGTTGCACATGTTTATAAATAAAGTTTTATTGGAGCACAGACATGTCCATTCATTCACATACTGCCCGTTTTTGCTTTCATACTATAATGGCAAAGTTGAGTAGTTGTAGTAGAGAATTTAGGTTCCATAGACTCAAATATTTCCTACTTTTGTCCCTTTATGGAAAAAATTTGTTGATCCATGGAAGCGTGTCTTATTATTTCCTTAGTATCAATTTCTTCAATAATATTTATGGATCAAAGGATATATAGACTAAAATTTTTGATATTTACTTAGTCCATTTCCCATAAAAAATGTTATGCTCATTTATGTATCCAGCAGCAATGTATGGGAGTGTTTTTCCCCCCACATGCTTAGAAACTCCAGTTAGTGTCATGATTTCAAATTTTTACCAATCCCATATGTGAAAAAAAGATACAGTAACATTTTCATATTTAAATTTCTTTTTTAGTGACTTGTAAAATTTCTGCTATTAAATTTCTGTTTGTATTCTTTGTCGTCTTTTCTACTGAGGTGGTCAGATTTTTCTTATTACTTTCTAAGAACTCTTTATATATGAGAGATATTTATCGTCACATGTTATCAGTCTATTCTTTCCCCATTACTGTGATATTTTAATTACTTTATATTTATAATTTGATTTATATCAAGTGGGGCAAGTTCCCTGTGGTTATAGCCCTTTTTCAAAAACTTTTCACACATTTTCACGTATTTATTCTTCCATGTAAACTGGAGAATAATTTTTTCAATAAAATTGTTTTGATTTGATTGGCATTGCATTGACTGTATAGAACAGTCAAAGGATAATGTGTACTTGTACTTTATTGAGTCTTTCCAGGGAAATAATCCACCAGTCTATAGGTTCAAGTCTTCTTTCAATTTCTTCAGTATAATTTTTATAAATATCATTTTGTATAATATGTCAATACAATTTTTAAGTTTATTGTGTTTTCTAGGAAGATGATCAGATAATCTAAAAATAATGATAAAATTATCACTCTAAAATAGTTATAACTCTTTTTCTTTTTCTTATCTTATTGCATTAGGTAGTAAGAACTTAGGAAAATATTAACTAATACTTCTTACAGCAACCATTTTTTCCCCTGAGTTTTACTTTTGAGAGCAATGCCTCTAAAGCTTCACTGATGAGAATCATGCAAGTCTTCTCTTGGTTTCTATGATGCTCCGAGAGTAAGGACATTTCCCTATCTCTAGTTTATTCAGACATTTCTAAGACTAGCTTTCCACGTCAGTTTAGTCAGATGCCAGGGAGATGACCAAATAGCATTTCTCTGGAAGAACATCGATGTGGCAAACAGTGGAGTCTGGACGGGTGAGAAGGACCTGAGCAGGGGAAGGTGGGTGGACAGGCGCCGTGGAGGGAGGGAGGGGCCTGATATGGACAAGGGCATTTCAGGCGCAGCAGCCTGAGGGGTGAGGAGGAAGGTGAGGGGGTGTGGTAGTGACTGTGGTGATGATGGGGCAGGAGATGAGACTGAGGTGAGCAGGGACACGCACAGAAAGGGCTCCTGAAAGCAAGCCGCTCAGAATTGACTAATTGGAGCACCACGTGTTGTTGCATCTCGTTCAAAGGCAAGAGGGAGAAAGGTAAGTTCATTCTGAAGTAAATTGGAAAGTAAGTGCATTGGTGACCTCATAGCAGACCTAGTCATTTACATGTTCCATCTTTGCAGTGGAGTTGCTTGTAAAGGGGGCATCAAAAGAATCAGGAGACTGGGTCTGAACTAAATATCTTCACTTATCTATTAAATATATTTAATATTACTTTTGCAAAAAGTACCATGAAAAATGTATGTTATTAAGTCTTATTGTGACAATTGACGTGCAACAAAGTTGAAAAGTAACCAAGATCTGCCCGGCTGATGTGGCTCAGTGGGTGAGTATCAACCCGTGAACCAGGAGGTCATGGTTCGATTCCCGGTCATGGCACATTCCCAGGTTTCAGGCTCAATCCCCAGTAGGGGGCATACAGGAGGCAGTTGATCCATGATTCTCTCTCATCATTGATGTTTCTATCTCTCTCTCCCTTTCCCTTCCTCTCTGAAATAAACTAAAAAAAACCACATAGTAAAAATAAATAAATTAAATAAAAATAACCAAGACCTAATAACGACAAACCAGCAACTCCAAACTTTAAGGAAATAAAATCACGGTACATTTACATTTTATTTTTCAAGCATATTTGTACCTGTTGTGGGGTCTTGTTTGAAAAAATGATAGCGGAGCCTCCTTCTTCTGCTTTAGGGTATTCGGGGAAGGTGCCAGTTAAGTTCCTGAGGAGGAAGAAAAGGCAAATTTAATAGAAAGGATCGCAGTCCTCTCTGTTATTTTCCCCCTTAGCTGGCTCTGCTGATGCTCATTTAAATAAGTGCTAGTTATTCAGATGGGGCTGCCCTGACCATCCGGGGCCAGACCCGAGGTCTCACAGGAGCAGGAGGGTCTGGGACCCGCAGGAGCGGCTTCCCTCCTGCAGGAGTTGTTACTCTCTCTCTCAGGCAGACTGGACGCTTCGTTTTCTTTTTTTCCCCTTTAAATTATTGAGCTACTCTGTGCTTGAGTTAAGAATCAAGACAGAAGCACAAATCATTTCTTCCTGTTTAAAGTTTAGGATAAACACAGGAGTTTGAAACTAAACAGAAGGGTGGAGGTGTTACAGTTACAAATGTAGTAATAGTGCATGAAATACACACACATGCTTTAGGCTTTAGTAAGTCTAAGGGTCTATATTTTATGGGTGCCAAGTAGTAATTTACTTTTGCTGTAACCATATAATTTCCTACATTTTGAAAAGCAGGCTTTGTAATTTAATGTTGAGGAATTTCAGAAGGAATGTGTAGTTAATATTTCTAAAGGGAACTGACTCTGACACAAATGTTGTGTTTCCTCAGCATATAGAAAGAGAAGATGACCCAGTTAGTTCCCTCAGTATAGAACCCAAGGGTCCGAGGAGACAACCATGTCTAAAATGACTCTATAGCAGTGGTTCTCAGACTTTTGGGCCTAGGAACCCTTTACATTCTTTTTTTGTTGTTAATCCTCATCAGAGGGTATTTTTTTCCATTGCTTTTCAGAGAGAGTGGGAGGGAGGGAGAGGGGTAAAGAGAGAGAGAGAAATCAATGTGAGACTCATCGATTGGCTGCCTCCTGCATGTGCCCGGACCAGAGGTGGGAGCAAACCCGCAACCCGGGTACATGCCCTTGACTGGGAATCGAACCTGCACCCCTTCAGTGCACAGGCCGATGCTCTAACCACTGAGAGATACTAGCCAGGGCCCCTTTACACTCAAACAACTTTTCAGTATCCCAAAGAGCTTTTTGAAAATGTGTTATTGCTATTGATATTTACCGAATTTTATAGTAAAACTGAGACATTTCTAAAATATGTATTTTTAATTAATTTAAAAATTACAATAATAAACCTGTTATATGTTAACATAAATGTCATTTTTAATGAATAACATATTTCCCCAATAAAAAAGTTTAGTAAGAAGAATGTGATTGATTTGCATCTTTGAAGTCACTTTAAGGTTTGGCTTAATGGAATAGCTGGATGCTCCTATCTGCTCCTATGTTGAATCTGTTGCCATACGTTGTTTTGGTTGACGCTTAGTAAGAAAACCTGGCCTCATGTATATGCATAATTGGAAAAGAAAGAGCAATTTTTTTGTGTTAATCCTCACCTGAGGATTGTTTTCCCATTGATTTTTAGATAGAGTGGGAGGGAGGGAGAGAGATAAAATATTGATATGAGAGAGACACATTGATTGGCTGCCTCCTGCACACGCCCCCAGAGGGGCCGGGGAATGAACCTGCAACCCAGGTACGTTCCCTCGACTGGGAATTGAACCCAAGACCCTTTCGTGCCTGGGGCGACACTCTAACCACTGAGCACACTGGCCAGAGCAAGAGAGGACAATATTAATAGCCTTTTAGGTAACAGAATACTCCGCTTTGATTCTACACGACTCAACAAGTGGTAGCTTCCTAAAGGCTGGCTGTGATGTGGAATCTGAGACCACATCAGTGAACCTGCCTTCTCCATCACGTGAAAATCCATCCGCCCATCTTGAGTGCTGGATATGTCTTTTGCCCACGCACAGTTTTGTAACACCCGGTATTGGTTATTGGGTTCACTGCATTATGCAGATCTTCCCAATGTCGATACATTTCCTCACATCAAAATCACATTCATTAACAACCTTCTAACAAAAAGGCTAAGTAATGGGAAGCTCTCAAACTCATGGAGGTCCTACAGGATTTTGAAATTTTCAATTTTCTCTAGAAAGCTCAAATTTTACTGTTGGTAACAGATACCCTGGGTTGTTTTCTGTTAGGCTCATTTGGTTCATTTTTGAGAAAAATCTCTCCCCCAAACCCAACTCTGAATCACCAGAGTTCATCAGTCGTTTCTTAAATAACAGTGACGTCCCGTAAAAAGTGGCTAGCTCAGCTTGTGACGGTGGTCACACTTGGTGTGCAGTGGAAGGCATTTCTGGGCTCTCCTGGCTCTGTCTCACAGAATATTAAAAAGCTGTCTATTCAAGGGTCAAGTCTTAATAACTGAGTTATCTCTTACTGCACCCGCAGGGGTTGTTAAACGAAACTGTTTCCAAGGCCGGTGGGTAACGAGGAGGACCATGGTGACCACAAATGGGGGTCTCTGCCTTGCTCTCTGCTGTTCCCCCCACCACTGTGGTTTGGTGTGAATGTCAGGAACCATTGCAAATAAGTCATATGGAAAGAGTTTGACTTTTAGATCCTAAAAGATCTTGGAGACCTCAGAGGTCACACACTTTGAGAACCGCTGCTCTAGAACGTCTCCCCGAGCCACTGCTCAGATGCCCCCTCTCCCCAGTCAGCCCCTCCATTTCCAGCCCTCCGCTGTTATGAAGTCCTTTCTGACACTGGGCCAACTGCAACCTGACTCCTGGCTTCTTGTTTGACCTTCTGGGGACACACAGAATTTGATTCTTTCTCTTCCACATAATTGCTAGTCAAACATTTTAAGACAGTTATGTCATTGTCTGGACGAAACGGCTCAGGTCTCTTGAATCTTTACTGTTGGGCTCATTTTGTGGGAATGTGACTCAGTTCCTCAGTGTTGCTTTGAAAGGAGCTAAACACAATGCAGTGTGTGTGTGTGTGTGGGGGGTGGGGCAGTCTCTGGACAAATGCACTAACACTGAGGATGGTGGGTGATCACACAGTGTGTGTGACATTCTGTCTATTGAGCTACCATCATCACAGCTACTTTGGTGTCTTCACACACTCACCCACCATCTATCCATCCACCCATCCACTTACCCACCCATCCATCCATTTATCCATCCATCCACCCATCTATCCATCCATCCACCCATCCACTTACCCACCCATCCATCCATTTATCCATCCATCCACCCATCCATCCATCCTCCACCCATTCACCCACCCACCCATTTTTCATTAATGCATTTATTTGTGTAGTCAATCAACAAATACCTGGTTAGTACCAACTCGATTCTAGATGCAATGAGGGAGACAGTGATTGAACATTAAAAGATGCTGACCTTGCCCTCACGCAGCTCACATTCCACATCACATGGCGCAATATTTGGCTGATGCACATGCTTGACCCCAGACGCTACTTGTCCACAAGATTCATAGCTCAAACCTCCTTAACTTGCCTGACCGTGCTTTGTCTCGATCTGTAAATCACTTGGCCCAGCCGGTTCCTGGTTAAAAACTCTGAATGCACGGAGCCTACAAACTAGAGCACTCTCTTCTTCATACCCAGTCCCCTGATTCTGTTGATGCCACCTTTACAAGCAACTCCACTGTATAATTTTATTTCCACATTTAAAGCTCGAATGGTTTTGAGGACTCATAGTAGATGTAGCAGTTTATAAAAACTAAAAACTAAAAGAATTTACATGTTCCATTTTTACAGCAGAATTCTCAACTTTGTCCCACACCAATAGTCACAGTAAGACTTGATAACATACATTTTTCATAGTACTTTTCTCAAAAGTAATATTAAATATATTTACTTTAATAGGTAAGTAAAGATACCTGTTTCTTCTTAGTTACAATAGTTTAAACAATTAATAATCTGAAATTGAATTAGTCTTATCTTGAAAGAATGTAAAAACTGCTACAGGGCACACATTTAAAAGATAAATTTTAAAATTCATATCTAGAAAATAACAGTGTAACTGATAGCTCTTCACCTTGTGCTCAGGCACACGAACACACACACACACACACACACACACACACACTCACACACACAGGCTTTCTTGTGCTCATACCACTCCAGTCTGTCCCTCCGTGGCAAGGGGACCTCCCCCACAGCAGCAGCACCCTGCTTGGTGACATGCTGAGGGCACCCTGGCTGGGACTCTGTCCCTGTGACTTGGTCACTTGGAGGATGCGAAGAGAAAACAGTTTTTGTATTTTCTTGGCTGCTGGGTGTCACCCCACGTATTCAGTGTGTGGTCTGGCTGAGAGGGGGCTCTGGTTAAGATGGGGGCACTGCCTTCCCCCTCACAGTCTGGGTGCTCAGGACTAAGACACAATTCATCCCTCACTGCTCACCAGAAGGAAGCTGCAGCTGACGAGTGTTTCAGTGCCCGGGGCGCAGCGCACTGAGAAGGTGTAAGACCTCCGGGGAGAGACGCTTACACTCAGACATGAGCGAATGGAAACATTATTTTGGCTCCCACAGTATTTCTGACACTGACTGCTGGGGGCTGACAGCATCCCTGCAGGTGACAGTCCATCTGGGGACTTTCAGGAAAGTAACTGAGGACTTCAAATTATGTGGTACCATGGCCTCCACGTGGTATTTCCCCTGTGCCTGGCTCACCTCTCCCCTCCCCCCACTTCCTCTCTGCTCACCTGGCTCCCGCTGCTCCTCCATCCACCTGGACCCCTGGGCACTCCCTCCTCAGACAGAAGTTCACTCTTAGAGGTAAAATACTACACCCAGTGTGTCCCTCACTTGCTCAAATGTCATCGCATCCACGAGGTCTTCCCTGACTATCCTATATAATAAAAGAGAAACATGTAAATTGACCATCCCTCTGCTACGCTTACCAGCCAATCAGGAGTGAGTATGCAAATTAACCCAACAAAGATGGCAGGTTAATTTGCATACACAGGCGCTGGCGGAGAGAAGAGTGGGAGAGCCGGCAGCTTGGGGGGACGTGGCTCCCTCGGTCACTCCTCCAAGCTGCTGGGCGGAGAGCAGAGCAGGAGAGCTGGAGGCTTGGGGGGATGTGGCTCAGTGACT